ATTATATTGTTAGAGTTATATAAGTTTTGACATATTTTTATAAATAGTTAATTATAATATTTTTTAATTAATTATAATATTTAAAAATATTTGTAATACTTCAAAATTTCCTAGAACATTAAAGTGTGAGTTAGGGACTTAATTATGAATAAATATTGTTTTGGGGCTTAATAATCAAATTTCAAAAGTTTAGGGACTTAAAAAAAATTAAGATAAGGATCAGCTGATATTTTTATTTCTTTTCTTCCCAGCCATATACGTTTCTGCTTTGCTCTTCTTCTTCGTGCAGCCCGGCAAGCCCCCCAAGCCACCAACTTCTATTTCTTGAGAAAATTGGTAACAAGCTTGATTTTTCCCTTCCTTTTCTTGTTAAAGAACTGATTTTAGGACCTAGAACCCTCCCTTTGAAGTAGGAATTTCAAATCTGCTCTGTTTCTTCCCCTTTGTCTGTCCGCTGTTCTGCTGGGTGTGAATCCTTCGGGATTTTTGGTAAGAACCAGCTTCAAGTTCATCTCTTTAGCTTTAATTTGGCTTGGGTCACTCTAATCCCTTTTGTTTCTTGCAATTTTGTGGTAGTTTTTATGATTTCTTCTCCAGTCTCCGTCGGCCTCCATACCCGCCAGCTCCGGTTTTGGCTGCTGGAAAAATTCTGGTATGTTGATGGCATCCTTAAGTCCGAAAATGGTTAATTAGTTGCTGCCTTGTGTTGTTGAATTTTATCAATTTGGTGCTGCCCGTGTTGTCCGAAAACCCTCTGTTGTGCTATCCGAATTTCTGCAGAAATATGGAAGAATTTGGCAGCATTTTAAACGTGTTTTTTTGCTTAATTCATGTAGAAATAAACCTGTTTTGGGCTTGAAATTAGCTGCTGTTCTGTGTGGAAAATCCTGCTGTTTTGTCAAAATTTTACTGTTTACGCGCACAGTTACTGTTCACGCAGGAAATTTTGCAATTTGCTGTTGCGTTTTCTGCATTTTCTGCAAACTGGCTGCTGCATTTTTCTGCACTTGCTGCTGCATTTTTCTGCAAGTTGCTGCTTTTTTTACTCTTCACGCAGCAACATCCTGCATTTTCCTGCACTGTTTTTGACCAAAAAACTCTGTATTTTCTCCAGAAAAACTCTGCATTTTGCAGCATTTTTCCTTGCTATTTTTCTGCATTGTTTTCCCCTAAATTTCTTGCCATTTACCGCAAATTTCTGCTCCTTGCCGAATTTTAAAATTTTCAGTTACTGTTTACGGGTACTGTTCACACGTTGAATTTTAATTAATTGGAGTGGAAAATCTCATGGAATACGTTAGTTATGGCATTGGATTAATTTTGGTCTAGTAGTGATGTATTATTGATTGGGGTTTCGTTTGGTTGTTGAGAATGTGAGGGGAAAATGAAAAGCGAAATGGTTATTAATTTTTGGATATTTTGATTAGGTTCTTGATCGTTCTGTCAGTTTAGCACTAAGATTGAGTCTTCGGTTTTATGCGAGTGAGGTAAGTAAATTATGGTAAAACTCTTCGATTTTAAAGTATGTTTTAAATTGTTTTTGAGATGGTGGCGAGATTTAAATTGATTTTATCAGCATCTGAGTGTGATTAAACTGAAATGAAAATTGTGATGATTTTTATGAAAAATTATTGTTTTACTGAAATTGAGCATGATTGGAATGAAAATGAGAATTTCATTGTTTTTCTGGAGTTGAGCATGCCCACATGAAATTGTTTTTTCTTTTGCACTGAGTAGAGCATGCCTATTTGGAATTGATTGAACTGCTTTGATGAACTGAGAATTTTGGTAAATTTTGAGTTTTCTGTTAAATTCATGTTCACATGGAATTTTCTGGTTATTTATGAAATTTGAGATTGATTGTGAATTTCGGGTTTTTCTGTAAATTCTGTATGGTTTTGTTTCTGATATGGTCATATTTACTGTGCCCGCTAGTGGGAGGTTTATAAATGTTAGTACATGTCGACATGTTTACTGATATGATCGGTCCATTATGTAATCCTGCCAATGGGATAATACATTGGTAATTACTGACGCTTGTCAGTGGGAGTTTGTTAAACACTGGTACAATTACTGACGCATGCCAGTGGGAGTTTGTTAAACACTGGTACTATTACTGACGCATGCCAGTGGGAGTTGTTAAACACTGGTACTACTACTGTGGTACTACTACTGTGCCCGCCAGTGGGAGGTTTATAAACGCTGACCATGACTTATAGATGAGACTACTACTGAATTTTTTTCTGCATTAACGGTTTGTCATCGAACGCTTTGTTATTGAACTAAATTTGATTTTGCATTAACGGTTTACCATTGAAAGTTTTGTTATGTTTACATGGTTTATCTGGCATGCTTAAATTTTTACCAAGGGCTATTTATATTTTTACTTATTAAGATATTTTATCTCATAGTTTTTCCTTGTCCACCATTTCAAGAAGCGAAACCGAGAACGGGAAACCAAGGGGAGTGACGAGATAGAAGGCTAGCCATTCTAATTGGATATAAGATTTAAAGTTTATCATCCTTTTGTAAGGTAGATTTTATTAGGTTTAAGTACCATTTTGGTCCCTCAACTTTACACTTTGGTACCAAAATTGTCCCTCACCTTTAAAAAGTACTAAAATTATCCTTAAACTTTCATTTTTGGTACCAAAATGATCCTTCCGTCAGTTAAATGACAGCTGTCACGTTAACTTGCCAACAAAATCATATTCTTAAAAAAATAACAATTACGTGGAAAATATATCATGCTAAAAGTGATGAGATGGCATTTTTTTTTTTCATGTGTTATTTTTTTATTTAAATAAAAATGAATTTATAAATTAAATCAATTTAAAAGTAATTAAGTTAATTAACTTTCATTTCATCATCTTCTACTTTCTCCTCATCCTCAGCCTAACCTCGGCATCATCATCTCACCGTTTATCTTCTTCACCATTCTCTTCACCATCCTTTTCCTCTTCATCATCTTGGTTCCTCATGGAACCCGATGCTGGGTTTTCCTCTTGTTCATCTTGGTTCTTCGCGAAACCCAAATTTGGGTTTCGCGAGGAACCCAACCCGGTGTTGGGTGGCAGAACGTAACCCGGTGCTAGGTTTTTTGAGGAACCCAGTTCCTTGAGGAACTCA